TGTTATGTTATTATTTTCTTACAATCAATCACGCTAATATGGCTAAAATCTAAATGAAATGGTAGATTATAATTTTGAATAACACAGGCTACTTTTGCTCCCACGGGAACACTGAGAAAACCACTGGCAGAAGCTAGTCATTGTAAAAATCACACTTCCCAAAAAGACGTCATCATTTTCATTTATATTTAACAAATCACAATTATTTAATTCCTTCATCAGCAAGCGTCACTCCAGCGCATCAGGTGATGAGGAAGAGACTCCTGAGGCCCCCGCTCATCCCTTAGTATCCACTTCCAAGATAGACCCGCGGGAGATACCCGATGTTCCTACCAACAGGTTCCTCATGAGAGGGGGGAGGGATCAGGATGACAGGAGTGATCCTAGGAGGGATCGAGAGAGGTAATATCGTTGGAAGGTTCAGGGTGTAAAAATGTAAAAAAATTTCTAGTTTGGTCACTTTTTTGCTTTCCACGTTCCACCTTTGTTTTCCCAGTTTACACTGACCAAGAAATTATAATCATGATTATCTTTAGAACGTATATCCACCTGATGGTAAGCAATTTGGGAATTGAGAATTTAAGGATTGTGGGGGATTCGGAGATTGGGGAGAATTTGAGGATTGTGGGGGAATGGGGAGGGGTGTAGTTGGGCGTCCGACAACCTCACTTACACGACAAAACACAATGCAAGCGTTGTTTTCTGCTCGGCCGCGGTACCTATCACTCCGGTCGACATTATCACCGCATTCATGCCGAAACATGGTTTTCCTACACTTTGATTTCAATGTCCTATATTACGGTTAGGTTCTTCAGTAGTCAATTTAATTTTTACTGGTGCAGAGGCTTAATTTGAAGTATTTTTTCACAGTTTCTATGAATTTCAAATGTAAGTTGTAAGCTTTTCTTTTTATGCATTTTAATTTACGTTAAAATACTTTACTTGCTACTAAAGTCTGTAAAATGTAGAATGGGGTTCTAGCTCAACCTTGCTTGCCAGCGTCAGAAACGAAATAAAAAGAAATTTAACAATGGACAGGTACAACAATATCAGTACAGATGTTTAAAGTTCAGTGACCTACACACAGGTTTCTTTTTGTCATTATGAATGACTTATTTAGTGTAGGAGTGAATAATGCTTTGTCTCGTAGGATGAGGTACCGCGAGAGGGAGCATCGGTCCTACACGCGCAGCGGGAGGATTATCAAAGGCCGGGGAGTGTTTGTAAGTTGATTTTATATTTATTTATTACTAGCGACCCGCACTGGCTTCGCACGGGTGCAATATGCATATTTTATAAATGTAAACCTTCCTTAAGAATCACGCTACCTATTAAACCGCATTAAAATCCGTTGCGTAGTTTTAAAGATCTAAGCATACATAGGGCACAGACAGACTGCGAATAGCTACTTTGTTGTATACTATGTAGTGATGTATTTAAAGTTTTGAGTCGAAGTTCAGTATTAAAATAATTTTGTGTTGTAATGTGTACAGGACTTGGAATCTTTTATAACAATTAATATTAGATGGTCAACTTTGATCCATAGCCAACTTTGTATTGAACCATAACATAACATAACATCACGCCTTTTATCCCCGAAGGAGTAGGCAGAGGTGCACACAGAAGTAACACCCACTTTTCACTATTTATGTTATGAGTCCCATATATCATATATTACATAATAGGGGGTGAGCCTATTGCCATATACCGGGCACATTTCCAGACTCCGTGCTACTACTGAAATTTTTTTTTAAAAACCCAGTAATACTTTGCCCGACTCGGGAATCGAACCCGAGACCCCTTGCCCAGCAGTCGCACTCGCGACCACTCGACCAACGAGGCAGTCAGTGTATTGAATCAATTTTTATTTATTAATCTGCGTACCAAACTCGAACTCAAAAGCAGTTATTTCAATGAAACCATAATTTGGTACTTTTGAAACGTCAACAAATATGAAATTAATAATAATTTTTTATCGACTTCAAAACGAAAAAAACAGGTTCTCCATTTGACTTGTATGAATGTATGTATGCGATATTATCTCGCGATTAGCTAAATCGATTTTAAAGCGATTTTCGGTCATTTGTATTCGATTGTTATCAGTTGTATCGAGTTTCATTGTAGAGGTTTTGTATTACGATCGGTTATTCATTTTAACATATAAATCTGAATGAGTATGAATTATACAAACATATATTTTCCAGCGTTACCGCACTCCGTCTCGGTCCCGGTCCCGCTCCCGCTCCGTCACTCCGCCGCACTGGAGGCAGGCGCAGCGACGTATCATCAAACTGTCCGAGTTTGAGGTAGTAAGTCCAATAGTTACATTTTATTTACTATTTATTATTACGTAGATACAGACGCTAACCTTTCAACATCACAAACTGTATTAGATTTTCAAGTTTATTACAAACAAATTAAGCTCAATATAAATATACATATGTAATACATAAAGGCTAGAGAATAATATCATCAGTTTTGCTGTACTATTCGTTTTTTAAAAGAAATTCAGAAATTCTAAATTACTAGAATGTACTTTTAATTGATCTCATTTTCCACTGTATACCCGTGTTACGTAGACAATAAGGTTCACTTTAAACTTGACATTGACATTGACACAATGTATTCCAGCGAGCTGAGCAAGAGAGGTCGGAGAAGGAACACCACAATGTCACCAAGAGGAAAGAAATTGAGAAAATACACAGCCGTAAGTCTTTAACACATACAGCCTAAAATACTGAACAAAAAATACACCTTTGCTAACTGTACACTGTTCCTATTAATTATTTTATACATATTACACCTAAAGCTAGAAAAACCGCCAAACATTAATACAAATGTTTATTGCTTGCAATAAATCGAACCCATAATATAATAAAACGAACCTTTGAGACACTTAAGACCTTGTCCAGAATAAGCGAATTCGTCGCGTAACGTTTTGCACGAATTCATTCGCGTGCTATTGAGATACTAGGCACGAATACATCGCGTCCACAAGCTTCGCGCGAATTCAAAATACGCGCGTAAATCGCGTGCTTAACGCCAGATCCTCGACTCGCGCGTGATTCGCGCGTATTGCGCGCGAGTCGAGGTACTAGGGACCCCTTGTTGCGTCCAGTTAAACGCGCGAACTCCGGCCGAGGGGACGTATCGGGAACAATGGAGCGCCAAAATTCGTCCCCAAATGCTCGCGCGTTGGTACGCTCTTTCTGGACGCAACGATCGCGCGTGATTCGCATGAGAGAATCGCGACGAATTCGCCCTTTCTGGACAAGCCCTAAATTGATGCAGTGTTTAGTTATTCTAACTCATTGCTTCCCATAAGGTACATAAGTCCAAATACTCAAACGCCACTCAATTTTAACTCGCGCTTATATACATATAGTCACTACAAACTCTTTGTAAAATGTCAGAGAAGCCACGATATTTAACCTTTTGAATGCACCGATATGAGACAGTAGAAAATACATTGTCACGCGTGGATCCACGTCTTAGATACACGAAAGGTTAAGTACAACATGAATAAAATTGATTAGCCTTTCAATATTTGGGCGTTAATCCTTTAGACAAATCATAGACTATTAATTACAGACGAGCTAAAGTTCACAATCTGTCTATACTCTAAAGACATCACTTCTCTAAAATCATAGAAAAGTGGTTCCCTTTCTAGGCGACGCTGAGGGAACCACCCCGGACAATCATCCCGAAGAGAAAGAGGAGGGGGAGTGTGATTCTACTCTGGGTTAGTATGACGTGACAGGTAAATAAGACCTATTGCCCTTCTCCGTGTGAGAAGAGGTCTTTTCTCAGCACCCGGGCAATTAAAGGTTGTTGTTTATTGGCGGGAATTGGAGACACCCAGGTTGTTAACTATTAACTGGCGAGTGCTGAAGATCAGCGTCCAGGACTCGAATCTTTATGACCAGCCCACAGCATTAAGCTGAGCAATTAATTTTTTGTTGTTTATTGTTTTAAGTGTATTTTGTTGGTAACAGCGTAAATAAACGGATTTTCTTACTTTCTGACATCTTTGTAGCTTGAGTTGTTAGGGTTCTCTACACGCAACGACAATGCGCCACTTGCATCCAATGGCTTCTCGCAACTTTCATGATCTCGTCGGTCAACATAGCTGAAGACCTGATGGATCAGAATAAAATATATGAAGAAGTCTGTTAAATATGTGATTAGACGCACGTTTCTTAATCGTATCAATAAAATACACGAACTTGCCTATAAAAAAATGGCTGCGTATTGTATAATCAACTTTATGTATATTGGTTTTAAATAAATTTTGTATAAATCGAAGATTCCTTTATGCTAAAGACTATTAAAACATGTTAACTTTAGCATTGTGTACCATTATTGCATTATTTTACCATTATTGTGTATTATTATTCATGTATCGTAAGAAGCGTCCTGTTGATATAGTGTACGTTACTTTTAAAGTACCTAATATTTGTGTAAATCCTTTCTAAAAATACTTTTTATTATTTTCAGATCGTTCTCAAACAGACCGGGTGGATTACAATGCTTTGGACTTTGAAGAGGACATTGAACATGATGGTAAATGTTTTAAAGTATTCATGAGGCATGAAATGTTAAAAAACCGATGGTGGAATATGCTGTATGTATTTGAAATCAGTTACCCCCTTCCCAATCTCCCCAATCCCCCTCAACCCCTTATCCCCAAAAGGCCGGCAATGCACTTGCAACTCCTCTGATGTTACTATTGTCTAAGGGCGGCGCTGATTACCAAGTACGATTGTGTTCTATGTTTAACGAGATCAAAACGAGACCACAATCGACGCTCTTATTGGTTGGTTCCTTGGAGCCAGCCAATCAGAGCGCCGAACGCGGTCTCCGAAAGGCCTCTGGTGATCAGTCCGCTCGTTTGCCGGCTTATCCCATAAAATATATATGTATATTGTATGCACCTTTTCATTGAGTGAAGTATTATTCATGTATCACTTATTATATTATAAAAAATAGCACTTTTATTTCCTTTATTATATTTTTTTGTGTCAATATTTACTATCTATGTATGTCTACTGACTTGGTGGCGGATTCTATATTTTTTAATAAATAGTTTTATCTTTCAGCCCATGTAAAAAGTAAAATAAATTGGCTGCATTATTTTATTTTGTTTTAATTTTATTTATACCTATTTCATGTAATATTTTATTTATGTATTAATACTTTATCATTTTACTTTTTTAATAGATAATGATACGTCTCACAAACGCAAACCAGTTGAGAAAGTAGATCGTCGTCGTGAAATGCGTCGAACCCCTGAGAACAGAGCTGAAATGTTGGCACTGGCGTTAGGTGTCAACCCTAAACATGATCAACAAAGGTATGTATGAGTAAACATTGTGAATGTAGTTCTTATGGTTTATGAAATAAAGTTACTTTTAAGTTTGTGGTTTTCTTTTTTTGCCTTTATTTTGGTTTTTTTATACATACATACATACATTTATTATCTCGCGATTAGCTAAACCGATTTTGATGCGGTTTTTAGAATTTTTTTTATTATGCTTTGGATAAGGTTCTAGTATATTAATTAACCGACTTCAAACAAGGAGGGGGGGGGGTTGATACCGGTTTATTAAACGTAGTTTATAATTCCTCTTATTTAATACTTGTATTTTCTAGGATGTAAACTCATTATGAAAATAATCTAACACTATTTTTGGGATACACAGTGTCTTACATATTTTTATTATTATCACTTGACATAAGTGATACGTTTTTAATTAAGGAGGCCATTATTATTTTTTCAGCAATATTCATTATACATCTCTAAAAACCATAACCATTCTTCCAGTGACGCAGGTTCCTTCAGCAGGGACTCAAGAGACAGTCGAGAGTCCACTCGACGTCGCGAAGGTTTGGCCTCCACTGTAGGATACGCCTCCAAGTTATCTTCAGCAGTCGGCAATGTCTCTGAAGGGTTGGCTAAAGGCCACCATGAAGAGAAGAGCAAGGATGGTTATGATCCCTTCAGTTTGCTCAGGAGTACCTTCAATAGAGGAGGGGAGAAGAAGGATCAGAACCAACAGAGGTAAGTGGAAGTTTGCTATGATGATGCTTGAATGAAGATATTTTGAGGCGTTAATCACGTTAGAGATGAAGTTTTTAAGATTTATTAGTTAAATGATATCTAATTCCGCAGTTAATATATTCGAGAGTTTAAAACGTGTAAAACGAGCCAATCATCACATTACTCGTTTTGCAAGTTATCTGTAATAGCAGTGAGTCTAAAATTAAATCTGGTATTTGCCAATAAGCTCGTTGTTTCCAGTAATGTCAATGCTACGATTTTGTATTTTGTTACCATTTTGAAACTTAATATGTTACCATCTTTCATCCTCCAGAAAAGAAGGAGATCGCCGTGAAGCAATAAAAGCTCGTCTAGGTGAGAAAGACAGAGAAGACAAACGCGACCGTAAGACTGACAGAGACGATAAAGACCGCAAACAATCAGAACAGAAGAACGACAAAGAAGACAGAAATCGTAGAGACGAAAGAACTCGGAAGCTGCCCGAAATGCCCGAGAAAGAAGATAGAGCGAGGAAAAATTCGGAAAAAGAAGATAGAGAAAGAAAAATATCAGAAAGAGATGATAGAAGGAGACATTCAGAGAAGAATGAGAAAGAAGATAGAACTAGAAAGCATAGTGAGAGGGATGATAGGGATCGTAAGCATTCTGAACAGAGAGACCACAGGAGGACCGACCGCCATAGGAGCGAAAGGTCTGAGCGTCGGGAGAAGAGTAAGGAAAGAGTAAGAAGTGAGAAGAGTAGAGATAATGACAGGAGTAAGGCCAGGGATGATGATAAGGACAAGAAGAGGAGACGGTCCCGTACTCCTTCGCCGGCTAAAGAGAGGTAATAATACACTTTTTTAAACTTATACAGTTGTAACAATAACTGTAATGATGATGGAGGTGTCGACTGAAATACTTACAAGCGTGCTTTTCTTGATGATATTCGTGTATTGTTTTATTTTTGTTTTTTTATTTTATTAATAACTCTTTTAAAAGCCACTTTATTATCTTAGTTAGACATCAAAACTATTACATTTTTAAATGGTTGTAAATTAAATCTTATCTTCTGTAACTTAAAGTCGCTTTTGCAGGTCAAAATCTCGTGACCGTAGACCCTCAGCAGCTGAGACCCGCGAGAAGAGTGGGGAGCGTACTCCACTGGACGAGGAGAAGAAAAAGGTGGGTGTAAGTACTCACACACAGTTGGAAACTGGGTTTTATTTATTCTACTCTGAAATTAACCTTATTTCTTAAGCCATAAAGATATGTATCACTTATTTTTGTGAATGTATATTGTATATGGTAATAGGCTCACTCCCTATTACAAGGGACTCATAGCATAAATAGTCAAAAATGGGTGTTACATTGTACAGTGGCATTAAGTGCTGTAATGTGCAACTCTGCCTACTCGTTCGGGGATAAATCGTGATGTTATGTTTTGTGAATGATATTTCTAAAAGTCTTGTTTCCCTGGTCGAATGATCGTAAATGAATAGAACATCATCTTTGGTTTGTTTCTTGATTTAATCAGAGATATTGGTATTGAGTTTACCAATTTATGGCATTCATAGTAATACATTTGGGAGCAAAGAAACGTAACTTTAAAATACATATTCTATTTACAACAAAATGCTCTCGTGTTAAAGGTAACTAAATTGTCTTTTATACGACATACGATAACAATTAATAAAATACTTTCATCAAAAAATATCTATCGAGGAATGAAAAAGGATTAACGCTAATGATCACAAATTCGCTCTATATTGTATAGGATTCACTACAGTACCTTTAGCCAAACGCCACTTTAGCGCTTGTCTACAAAGAGAGTAGAAATCAAAATGTATGGATGACACTGACAAGTGTCAAAAATTACGTCAATTCCATATAATTTGGTTTTCTATTCTACATGTAGACAAGCGCTAAATGGCATTTGGCTACAACTGCAGAACTGACAGAAAGACATTTAAATATTTGTACATCTAACTGAAAAGTATAGTTACGTAATCTATTATTTGTTTGTTTATTTAGCAAGAAGACGAGAGGAATGAAGCTCGCAAGGAGTTAATGGAGATAGTTCGTCTCATCAAGTCCAGACAACGGGACCGAGAGAATAAAGCTGCTGGTAAGAAATATATGTTATAGTCTGTGTAATAAGGTTCAGTTTAGATTAACTTTCTGAGTTTTGATTATTTATTAGTTTTATGGAAATAGAGTTCATAATAGGCTAGTATCCTAAATTTTATTTTAATATCCGTCTGATAGATTAAAAACATTAGACCCGTATTTTTTTATTTCTTACAATATTTAATATTTTCGACGATACATTGATTTGAAATATCGTGTGACGTCACGATTTTCTACTTTTTATAGGGTAGCGTGACTGAACGACCTCCCACACCTAAATTTAATTTCGTTTTATCTTATTATTGTTTTCTTATACGACAAATAAAAAAAACTGTCTAATATTTTTTCATTATCTGACTGAGTAATTACACTTTTAGTTTATATAGATCTCTGCATCACCTAAATGTCAGACTGGTAGAAAATGCCTGCGGCATTAAGTCCACCTATTTGTACATTATGTGCATGATGCATATTAACTCGTCGAGTACCGGTTTTGCAGACACAATTATAGAACAATAGGTTGCGGTCACCGGTGACCGCTTGGTGTTTGACAGTTTAAATAAATAAATATTATGTTGCGTGACCTTTAGAAGTATTTAAATACTGTAGTAGTTGGTACTGTTTCTTCCTAGTTCTTTGGAGGGACTTTGAGAGTGAGAATAATGACTTATTGAAACCAATTGTATTTATTATGTAGGTTTAAATTGATAAAAGTTCTCAAAAGTAATAATCTTATTATATTCTAGCGGTCCTAGCAAAGAAGAAGCGAGAATCTTCTCACTCGGACAGTTCAGACTCCGATGGTGACAAGAGAAGGCGCCGTTCTTCTGATAGAGATCGAAGGAGAAGGAGTAATTCTAGGTTAGTAACTGATATAGGAATTTGTAAGATAAAGTAAGGTCTAAATTTCAGCTTATCGAATTAGTTAAATATATTCAATCGATTTTGAACTTGCATGCCTTTGTCGTAAGGTTGAAAGTCTATTGAATTAAAGTGATTTGAATTTGATTGCAATGTTTGACCTTAGATAAATCATAATTTGAATTGTTGCGTAATCTGTTTAATTATTAAATTTCTATAAACTTAATTGCTGCTGTAATTAGATGTCGTTTTTTATTTTAAAAAAGGTATCGTCTGTGCTGTCTAGGTATAGCCCAAAAATTAAACAAAATCTTGCGTGTATTAAAAATCATAAACTCAACAATACTTTTCATTCTCAAGTGCCAATTTCAAACCCTTATTTTACCACAGGGGTCGCCACTCGAGTTCCGAGCGTCGCACGCGCCGCCGTCGCTCGCGCAGTCCGCGCCGCGACCGACGCGACCGTAGACGATCCTCATCCTCGCGCTAAACACACGTGTCTTATATTATACTAGACTTTTAATTAATTATAAATGTACTACTTTACTTTATAAAACATAAATAAACAAAGTGTTTTTTGTATTTTATTAGGACCTGTTTTTATCAACATTTTGACACCCAAATATGAAAAATAAGTATAGAGATATTATTAAATTCAGGGTAGTTTACGTATATTTCTTTTCTGTACTCTGCTATAAGCCGAATGGCCTTTAGCGTTTGTCTACCGCGAGAGTATAGAAATAAATGAGATGTCGCATATTTTGACGCTTCTCGGTGACATTCACATTGTGTTTTCTACTCTCGCAGTAATTAAATAATTACTGCGAGATGCGCGATAAAACATTTCTACAAGCTAATGCTTGTAGAAATGTTGGTTTTATTCTAATAAAGTTAAAATCCTGTTCTGCCTGTATTTGCAAAAAAATACTACTGTCTCTTTTTTATTTGCCATCTGAATTAGAATTTTGCAAAATATCTTTTTTCCAGTACATTGCTAACCTTTTTAAAACAAGTCATAAGGACGTTCAATATTTGATAGCTACAGTACTAACGTCTACTAGACGAACACGATCATAAGCGACACCAGCACCATCTAGGGTTCTTAAAAATGATATTTCTTATGTCATTATTATACTTTGTTATAGTTATTTCTAAGTCTTAGTTATTTTCTGTTTTCAGTACTTTTAAATGCAGTTACTGATTTTATCCTGGACATTTGTTTTTGGTTTATTTTATACTTCATGTCTATAAAAATTTAAATACCTGTGTGCTTTATGCATGAGTATATTTTGTGATATACCATTTATGTATATTTATGCCGATCTAACATAGTGTTGTTCGAATAATATACAGATAATATACAAATCACAGTGGAAAAATTGTGTGACATATTTTTTTAAACAGTGAATATGACACTTTGGTTAATTATTTTTTTATTTACTTCTTTCCAACGGAATAAAATACTTCGAAGTATGGTTATATTGTGTCATTTGGTGGGTCTTCAAAATAACGTTATAATATTTTCTTTTGTTCAAATGTAACGTTTAGGTTAAGTTCCCTGTTCGCGTCCAATCATCGCGCGTACGCGTCCTTGTTACGGAAAGCCATTTAAAAATTCCCGATAATAAGAAAACTATCGCCATAATTTCACGTTTTAAGTATCTTACGTTTATGGCAATCCGTAAAATGGACGCGAACAGGCAACAAACTTATCCTATATGATTCCTTATTTTACTGTGCTGTACACTCAAATTTTGCCATTATTTATATATTATGTGTAAAAATCCCACGAAATGAGAACCTCCTTATGTTTTTAAGTCGGTTGAACTAGGAATTTGCATATTTATATTTTCACAGTAAATTTCAATGTCTACAAGTAAACTGTTTAAGTAAGACTAGTTGTTTCAAATTATTTTGTATGACAAGTGTGCTATTATGTAATTAAATGAAGTTTTAAGTTGGAAATAATCTTTTATTTATTAATTTAGACACCTTTCACCCTGTAATTCGGTAGTTGCACGTGCGACCATCTCCAAGAAGCGATTTTTTTAGATTTTCTGACCAATACAATATTCAGTATTTTTGTAAACGAGCTGTTGCCCGCGACTTGATCTGTGTAGAATATTATTCCTGTTTTCTCCTATGGGAGCGTTTAATCGGGATAAAAGTATCCTATCACCTAAGTCAGTCCATACCCTGCCTGTATACCAAATTCATCAAAATCCGTTCAGTAGTTTCAGCGTGATTGACGAACAAACATAACAAAGAAACTTTTAAAGTAATATTACTGAGATGAAATAATTTTGTGTGTTAAATTAGAGTTTCGTATAAACATTGCATAGGTTCTGCCCGCGACTTCGTACGCGCAATCCCGTTCTCTCTAGTTCCCGTGGGCTTTTCAGGATTTGTTCTGTCTTAAGAACCTTCTAATAATAACAAATACAACATAACATAACATCACGCCTTTTTATCCCCGAAGGGGTAGGCAGAGGTGCACACAGAATTAACACCCACTTTTCACTATTTATGTTATGAGTTCCATGTAATAGGGGGTGAGCCTATTGCCATATACCGGGCACATTTCCAGACTCCGTGCTACTACTGAGAATTTTTTAAAAACCCAGTAATACTTTGCCCGACCTGGGAATCGAACTCGAGACCCCTTGCCTGGCAGTCGGACTTGCGATTGCGACCACTCGGCCAACGAGGCAGTAACAAATACAACAAACAGCGAAATTAGTCTAGCCATTCACACGTGATGCCGTGACCAAAGGAAAAAGGGATTCATTTTTATATAGGTATATAGCTTTTATAAAATGTACTTAATCACCTGCTATCATCTCTGCATTACTCAAAGGTTGACTGGGACTTAATGCCCAAGGCATTAAGTCCACCTGTACACACTTGTTTGAAGTTGAAATAAATAGCAACTTCGTCTAACGAAAGATGCCAATTCAGGCACCGTTCTAAAGCAGGACACTTGAACGTAACTTGGTATGTCACCACAGCTGCCAATGACCAGCAGGTTCTGTTCAATTCTGCTCCTGTTTGAAACAGAAGTAGGAACGGGGTAGTGTTTGGTCAGTAACAGCCTGACACTGCCTCTCGCCTCACTCAAGGCGGGAGTTGCCTTTGGATGATTTCCTCAGATAAAAATGAGATGTGGATGGGCAGGCCTAAACTCGCCACATTGACGTTGACGTGCTCCATTTATGAATACGTACGACACCACAAACACTATAAAAAAAATAAAACTTGCGGAATTTAATTCCCCATACAAATGATTAACATTGTTTAACCAGAAATTAAAAATGATGTTACAATGTTTAAAAATTATTTATCGGGTACCCAAATCAGTTAATTTTATTTAGGTATCACTCGTTTATTTTACTAGAAATACCTAAATTAAACAATTGCTAAACTCCTAGCAGCTAATCACATAGTTTAGTTTCAAAATACAATTTTTTTATTTACCTACGTAAAAGAATCCGATAAGCGATTTTTACCATACTTTTTGTTATGGCATAAGCCGGTAAAAGAGCAAACGGATCACCTGATGGTAAGCAATCGGCGTCGCCCACGGACACCTGGAACACCAGAGGCGTTACAAGTGCTTTACCGGCTTTTTGGGAATTAGGAGTTTGAGGATCGTTGGGGATTCAGGGATTGGGGAGATTGGGGAAGGGGAGGGTAATTGGGCCTCCGGTAACCTCAAAACACAACGCAAGCGTTGCTTCACGTCGGTTTTCTGCTCGGCCGTGGTATCACTCCGGTCGAGCCACCCCATTCGTGCCGAAGCATGGCTCTCCCACACTTATAATACTTACAGACTTACACTTATTTACTTTATTTCCCGGAACTCTTAAGGATTCATTCAGGATCTAATAATTCTTTAAAACGCTAAGTTTTACTACGTTACCACTCTGTTATTGAGACTCATTGCCTAGCAGTGGTCTATCTTGGGTTAACGATGATGTGATGTGATTAGAACTGATTAAGATAAAATTAAAGGCACTCTCGTAGGCACTAAAGTAACATTTGGCGTGCAATAATAATATAGCAATAACAATATATATGAAGTCGTAAACTTGTAGACGATAATGACTGGGGTCGCGGGTTTGATTCTCGCACTCATAGCTTTAGGGGTAGTTGGACCCATTGACTCTAATTGGAGAAAATCCTTGTACCTATTGGGAAACAAAGTATTTAAGGTGTAGAGGATTGTAAATGTTTATCTTTTCTACATTTATAAAAAAACTCTTTTTAAGAGGCGAAAATCATTGAATTTGCTTCTTCCGTAAGGCGGGAGGGAGTGTCAGACTCTTACTGATTAAAAAGTAAAAACCAACCCGTTCCTACTCCTGCACTTCGAGCCGGAGCCCCGGTAACCCGTTAAGTCCTCCGCGGCACCGTATCGGCATCAGCCCTATTGGGCCCCATCCGTGGTGGTTTTTAGATAACATACGAAAAAATTAAAATAGGCACTAGGTATTTCATTTTAGTGGCGGTATGAGGCTACTAACTTTGACCTTTGAAGGCTCTATTTCGAGACAACCGGAAGGACAAAAAATCTTTATAAGTAAGTAGATAATAATGGATGACATTTTACCATACCATACCGTACTTCGTGCAAATAAACGTTCTTATTCTTATTCTTCTTTTATTATGTTTTTTTTTTAATATTTTGCTTTTTTTTAATTGGATAATCGAATAACTTTTCTTTTGTTTTTTTTTTTGATAGGGTGGATTCGTGTAATTCATTCAAATCATATTGACGTGTAAAAGTGCTGCCTTGTAGCCTATTTGCAGAAATAAATTCACTTGTTTCACTTGAATCATCAAATGTTGTTTTTATTTTAGAAAAGATTTTATCTTTAAAAAGTATCTTAAAGATCTTGTATCTACTAATTAGTATTTTAGATACCTACCAATGTCAATAGTATTTTGTATCTGGTATTTGAAATACTTAATTTAAAAGTATCATGATTGTATTTTGTATTTCAGATACTTTGTATTGGGTTTGTTGTATACTAATTTCAATATTATGGTTCTCACAAATTCAATTTCCGTAAACGTGGGTGTTGTCAATAATAAATTAAACTATAATCAGTCTGTTGCGATGGTGTCAACTATATTTTTCTTGAGCAAGTCTGATTTAATGCTAGGATAATATATAATTTATAGTGGCGGTCAGAAATTATTAAAAAAGAATTAGGTAATGCGTAGTAGGTTGACCTTTAGATAAAAGTTTAGTTTTCCTTATCTGTGGATTATTAATTTGAACAGGTGATTTAAACTCTTATTAAATGATTTGTTGTGGGGTCGTCTACCTTGTGATGAAGTGGAATAAACTCCTTCCTACAAAAGGAAACCAACCTCCAAAAAAAAACCTGAGAGCCATGCTTCGGCACGAATGGGCCGGCTCGACCGAAGTGATACCACAACCTCACAGAAAATCGACGTGAAGCAACGCTTTCGTTGTGTATCGTCGTGTGAGTGAGGTTACCAGAGGCCCAATTACCCTCCCCTTCCCCAATCTCCCCAATCCCTGAATCCCCAACGATCCTCAAACTCCTAATCCCCAAAAAGCCGGTAACGCACTTGTAACGCCTTGGTGTTCCAGATGTCCATGGGCGACGCCGATTGCTTACCATCAAGTGATCCGTCTGCTCGTTTATCGGCTTATGCCATAAAAATAGGTACCACAAAGATTAAACTGTTAAACACCAAGCGGTCACCGGTGACCGCAACCTATTGTCCTATAATTGTGTCTATAATGACGGTACTCAACGAGTTAAATAAGACCTTAAAAAAAAATCTAAGAAAGTATACATATAAATCAGAAAAAGTCACATTGGTACTTGCCGTTGGTGGGTTTGGAACCCACACCCTCTTGCATGAAAAACGGATGTCTTAACCTCGGGTCACCACGACCTTACGAATATATATTGCAATTAAATATTATGTAAATATAAAGTACGATGACCATCAGTAGGACGTACTTAGTACTGAACTACTGAGGTAGGTACCTACTTACATTTATTCTGTAGGCCATAAAACTTAACAATTTTACCTGTATCAGCACTTGTTCAGTTCTATAACTCCATTATTATAATCAGCTGGGGCTAACTGGTACAAAGGGGTCGGTCGCCCCCCGCGTTAGGGGAACTCCCGGAATTAAGGCTCCCCCATCCGATAATTGCCGTGACCTTCAATTTTCCGTATCAGGTTGCATTTTTCTAATTCAAGGTCAGATCCACAAGGGGTCTGTCAGATACGGTGTAGATTAGGTGCTGTTGTGTATAAGTAAATCGATCAGTTACGCTAGTAGTTCAAAAAAGATAACTAGGTAAATTAATGCTGGTTTAAGACCACAAACAATGAACAGTGTGTAGGTACTGAATGTCGGTTCAAGTTAAATCAATAAAGTTATAAATACACTGTCTGTTACACTCGGTGCATTAATGCGGAATTGTCTAAAGACGTCTAGGTTCTATTTACTTTACATTTTAATTAACCATTCAACTACTAAACTGCCTTGGCATTCTCGTCGAATTCGCGGCAAACATTTCCTGTCCTCTTTATGTTTCAGTAGGTACTTACCATGTTAAGCGATATATTATTCTAATAAATAATATTTTCCAATGACGCAACGTGTAGTCAGCGTGCACCGATGGCATTGATCCGTCGATGATGTCATAGTGCACTGTAACTAACCTAACCTAACTTATAATGTTGACACCGCAGTTCTCGCGGGCTCGGCTCGGCTCGGCTCCGTCCTCCGCCAATACACATTATGCTGCATTATACACTCCGTGACACTCTTACATATTAATTCAACTATCTAACAACATTTTACGATCACAAACACGTCATAACTAAGTTACGATATTTAAGTATTAACAACATTCTAAAACTTCACAAAGTTTACAGCGACGCTTTCAGATACCGCTGACATGCCGCGTCATACAACGCGCGCGGGGTAGGCGTGGGGTAGCGAGCGCCGCGCGCACGCCCGCCGATGTACCTCGTGACATAGTTTAGATGCAGCGCGCGTGCTTCAAAGCGGAAGTATAATGCCATTATCGATTTGCTTATGACAGAAAATGCGTTGAATGGACAAGGCTCTGGCGGGGCCGGGGGTGCGGGGCGGGGCGCGGTGCCGCGGGCGTGCGGAGCGGAGCGTCAGTGCGCCGGAGGCAGCGGGCTGCGCCGTACGTGTCCACGCAGCCCGCTAATCGAAAAATTCCGAGTGTTGTGCAAATGCTTGTGTTTTTATGGCGGTCACATTACTACGAGTGTTGGTGCTGGGTGTGATCGCGGCGGCTGCCGACGGTTTGTTATTTATCTGTGTCGATTGTGATGGTTGTTGTAGCGTCCACGTGTTTTCGGCCGGGAGCGAGCCGCTGTTTACGGCGCGGCTGGCGCATGCGCTCGGCTTGTTTGCGTCGCCTACGGCGGGTCAAACACCGGCCTAACTTACAGCCTACTCGTACCTACATGTTTTTGGTCCGTCAAGTAAGTCTAGATATAGATCTCGAGATGTGGCCACCGATAAACAGGCAAGCCAAGGTAATCGATACAACTTGTTTTCTCACGATATCATACTTGTTTCAGCGAATATCGTCCGAGTTTACTGTTACTCCAATGTATTATGATAGTTTAGGCATCCTTCACGCCACTACAACCTCCAGGAGTGCGTCTCACTTTAGAATCCATTCACTTTTATTGTTATTGAGAGTTTCCGAGCACCTCGGTGTGATGTTTACAAAAGAACAATAGTAAATAGTAACTTAATACTTATTGCTGCGTGCCCTACTTATTGGAATTCGCGTAGGAATCACGTTGCTTTCCAATTTTCTCACTTCGAACTCAAGGACATTTCTATTGGTGTCCGTTTGTCAGTCAGTGGGTCAGCAACACACGAACATGAATAAGTTATATCTGCACCTTGATCATTTTGTCCTTTTGTGGCCATTGTTTTTAGAAGAAGTTTATTTTTATATCTGTGCTTTTAAGTTTATTTTTAAGTTCCTATTTATAGCTCATGTTCAATCTATGTTTGTTACAACCTGCCGATCAGTGTTGTGGCTTGTCACGATGTCCAAACGTATAATTTCCTGTTGGCCAGGCTGACGTCAATGCCCTTAATAGGGCACATTGTTCATAACCGTCCTACTGGGAATACATGCAAATTAGTTATAATTAAAATTTCTGCCATCATGATCGGAGTAACATTCATAATCTTAGCCACCACGGTTGTTTCATATTCAAATTATGACGCGACCGTTATCTTTCAAATGCGTACGAGTACGACCTAGACAACATGTTAAGTTTAAAAACCATTTGTATAGTTTTTTCTTCTGCTTCCAATAAGAAAATGTTTCCGTTACAAATCCAACAAGTTTCATCATTAACGGCAACATTGTTTAAACATTTCATTCTCGGAGTACCCTCCAAAGAGTTTCTTAATTATCCCTTCACTCCAACCCTCCTTTAATCACTTAGTTCTTCCTTACTACTCTCATGGGAAGCTATAGAGCATTCGTAGACTTAACTAGAAACAACATGGTTCGGTAAACACAGACTATATACCTACTTGCATGCCTTCTATAAAAACGTTGCGACTGTAAAAACTTTTCTTGCAATTTCGCTTTGCTTTCGATCCTTCGATTCTTGTCTGTTTAATTTGTTTTTATTCTTGCTAATGCTATGTCCAGTATCCTCTTTTACAGCCTTAATTTAATTGGATCTTGCCCTTTGGGCAATGTCAAAGGACAATTCATTGACCCAATGGTCAATCTACTTGGTCCCAACTATTGTAAAGTCAATTTGTAGCTGAAGCTATGGAGATAATTACAGATAGTTACTAGATAAAGTTTCAACTCCATTTGGATTTGAAAGTCTCGCCTTCCGGCTAAAGTTTGTTTTGAACTAAATTAAATGCTTACTGAGATATTCCGACGAAAACTTTGTTAAGAATTCACAGCGATTTGTTTTTTGAAACATTATTTGAAACTTATCTTTGATACTGAAATTGTTTGAGATGAAAATCACTTTTCCCTTAAATAAGTGTCGATCGCAAGTCGTATTAGTATACAATTAATTACCAATTAGGAGATCGTAAATAACTTGGTATCGAATTTGGAGAAAAAAATCGAAGTATAACCTGAAGTAAAATAATTAATTTGATGTTGAAAGCCAATTAAGATTTTTTATTACCTAGTTACCTACTTTATTTGATGTTAAACTATAAAACTTACATTTATAATAATATTTCAGTTTGTAAAAGTGACTAATATTTGTAAAATACACAGATTATTTCAATGGAACACTCACCTCTAAAGAAAGTTATTGTTCTTACATTTACAAAAAGAATACTTTGTTCTAACCATTTGTAAAAGTTAAAAGAATAAAGTCTTGTAACTACCTAAATAACTTCTTATAAACAATTTTTGTAACTTTTTGAAGAATTTCCAAGTAGCTACTACCGTATTTTTCAGTTTTTGGATTAATCGCTTCAAACAATAGGTACACGTATGTACTACATGTCAAATAAATAAAAGCCAGATACGAGTACCAACAACCAATACCAAAGATTTTCCAACTACCCACACATCGGAAATAAAATCCATATCACGTGTATTATTGAAATAGCAAAGAAAGTATCAGATGGCAATTAGGTAACGAAACCATACCGATAACGTCTGACAATTCCAATAACCGTTATTCCCAATAACGTTGTCTAAAGATATCCTAGAGATCACTATTGTGTGATAAGTATTATCTTTCCGTCTATCAATGAGTCTAGTCTGACAAAGCGTCACTTGTTGACAATGGAAGTGCCGTATTAGACTATCAATGGCTTCTGATAAGGTGGTGTGGTCTCCCACTGACTAGGATGACATAACAAAACAAAATATGATGCTGTAATTCCGCTATAAGAGATATTTGTAGAACTATACATGTGGTTTTTGGAGTTGATCCTAGTTATTGCTATTCGTGGGGCTATCCCGGGTTTGGAGCCGTTAGTGTTCTTTCTACATGATAATTTCTCAAGAGATTAATTCAGGAATACTTGACGCTCTTTTGCAATGCCTAAAGCAGAGCATGAAATAAACTTTAAGTGACAAATGTATAAACGTAAATAAAAAAAAATAAAAGTAAATTTCAAGTTTACATATCTCTAAATCTGCGTAGATGTTTTTCGACAGCCCTGTTGTAACTTATAACGCTTACTAACCACAATAAACACTACATTTCTTTCAATCCTCATTACAATTTTCAAACATTATTTAGATTCTTTACAGGTAGATACAACACTCCTAGAGCTGCTCCGCCTTGCCACCAGACCCTCGCTGCTTCCTTCCATCCAGCTTGCTTCGCTTGTCCTACAAATGCACTGCTTTGATTACAGCATACTGCACTATGTCAACATACAGTTATATATATCTAGCTTAAACGTCAATAAATATGGATGAACGGAAAAGCCGATGTATGTGGATCATTGTTTTGTCTCCAGCATTGATTCCTATTAATATTTATTGAATATTATGTCAAATAAGTTGAGTGGTCACCTTTGGATGTGATTGTCTACTTAAACTGATATTACGAGTAATCCATTCTGATTTTAATGGCTCTGTAACAAAGAGATTGGATCTTTAATGTCTTATTTGATTTATGAATGGATTTGTAAGTGCCCATTTAAATGTAATAGTTTGAAGGAATTTTATTGTTTTAGCTCTGTTCAATATGTTTTTTGGGACAGAAACTCTGAGTCACAATGAGTATGCAAAGGAGTTTAGTGGACTACTTCTCGAAGCATTTTTTGCTGAAGATATTTATACAAGCCCTAAATATTTGTCTATTGAAGATTAACGAAAGCTGTCAATGAAAGGCACAGAATTGATTAAGTTATTAATGATTGGTGTTCTGGATGATAATTTATCGTCTCATTATTAAGTTGCTGCTCGCGTGATAACCGAGCACGAGATCTCGGGTTCAATCAATGAATAAGGACGATTTAATTATTTTTTTCTAACGTTTCAAATTATGTGATAATTGTCGAGAACACAAACAATCCTTTAACCCATCTGCTTCCACACACGAACCTTAACAGTTAACATAAACATCACCAGTTTAATTAAAACGGTCGACAGTACAAAACACACGAAAATATGGCTCGTAATATACCAAAAACAATATGGAGTCCCACAAATCACTTATAAATTGTTTTGTACTGAGTCAGCTGTTCAGACGACTCTGAACTGGGACCCCAAGGTCAGGGTAATAGAGTAAATATCTGTTTATTATGTGATACTCCAATTTGTGTCTAGTCGGTTGACTAGTTATTAGGACCTGTGTATATTTGTACTGATATATTCGGATATATTTACTCTGATTGTACAGTTATTGTGTGTGGATGATGGCTTTATTTAGCAAAGAATATCTGGATGAAATAATTGATATTGTATTAGATGTCTGTTATTAATAAATTGACCCAAATTTGGTGAACTTTGACTTTATTCGTTGTACTTAGGATTGGAAGTAACTGTTTGATGTTTTCGGATGTTTTACTCTCAAAAAAAGTATTGCAGTATGTTTTAGTTACTCATAACCTACCTCAATGATTGTCTAATTTCAAACCACCGATTATTCCAAAGAAATTTGAATAGATTTAATTGATTTATAAAAGGCGTTATACATTTCTGTTCACTTTATACGACAAATGATACAAAATTAAAAAGATAGACAGATTAAAAGTGATTTATCTAATAGCGTATAACAATAAAGTGGAAAATATTTCACCGTCCGATACACAAGTGACTCATAAAATCTCGTACAGGCCATGAATATAGTCCTTAATCATAAAATGACAAACCATTAACTAAATAGAATATTTCTTTGAAATATTTTTCTATTGAGGTGATTTTGTTGCGATCTATTTGACCTACACAAGGGCCTAAAAATATCTCGATGCTCGCAAATTGTGAAATTGTATTAGGCACTTAAGAATCTTGAGCTCCAATTCCACCTGATAAATTGGAAATAAAAATAAGTTTGAGAGAATTGTTCTTTACTTGGATGTGAGCGTTTTTTACCTGAGAAAAGGCTAGGATGGCAATTAACCGGTGAAATTGTATTATTTACGCATGTTTGTATGTTCACTGAATTCTAAAATACTCATGTTTTCGCACTTGAAACAGTGATTATCCATTATTTGCACGTAAAATTGCCAATTTTGATGTCTGGATTGGCAAAATAAGATAAAGATGTCTATTTAAAATTGCCTAATAGTCCGTCACCTTTCCTTGTCATTATTAGATCTATACGTA